ATGTAAATTTAAATGAAGCCGCGATTATTTAAATCGCGGCTTCATTTCCCTTTGCCTATCTGTCTAATCTACATGCCTCCATTGATGGAGGCATGTAGTCTAGACACACCCATAGGGGCCCCATCCTGCGAGCAGCTGGTCCAATGGCCCGGTTGACCCTGGTCTCAGGATGCTCCCAATTTCTGCTCTGCTGAGGGGGAAGGAGTGAAGATGCTGGTTTATTCTCTGCCTTATGCACTGGATTTCCCGGCATGAGCATGGGCCCTACAGCTGGGACAGGGGGAACCAAAACCAATTGCATGTCTCTGGCCCTAGTGAAAAGCCAATGGGTTGTGGGAACCCCATGCTGGAGCTGTAAGCTGGTGGCTTTGTTGGTTACAGCCCAAGCCCAGCCCCTCTCCCAGCTTGTGAGGAGTGACCCATGGCCCTGCCCGATCCAGAACACAGACACAACTTGAGCTTCTGTGTCTGGTTTATTGCTTTGGGGTTGGGGAATGGTGGAGCCAGGTTCTTCCCCTCCCACTCACTCCCTTATGAAATCCGCAGCAGATGATGCCCAGGGGCCAGTCCCAGGCAACCGTGCCAGTGCTGGGCAGGGAAAGCAAGATGGTACCTACATGGCCAGCATCAAGAGCTGGTTTGGCAAAGTGGGAGGTACTGTGCTTTGTTGATTCAGTTTCTGGGCACTCAGAAGAGTGGGTGGAGCCTCCCTCAGGCCTCTCAAATTAGGTATTTTTGTGTTTTTTTTTTAAATGTCATTAAAAGTCGGTGCCCCTGGGTCACTGCACCCAGTTGACTCTGTGATGACATTATTTCCAGGGGCAGCCTTTATCTGTGACATTTAGGTCTGCGCACAGCCAAGTCCATGGTTGGCTTCACTTCCTGACATACCCTGACCAAATGGGTTGTACCTACTAACATCACTTCCTGCTGTGTCCAACGCCGCACACTCACAGCCCCACTGGCCCCTTCCACTGGCTGTACCTGTTCCCATCCTACCCCTCAATTCTTGGGGGACAGCCTCATCCCCCCTTGAGCAGAGTCAGAAAATCCAGCAGGGCAGCAGCAGGACTTCTAGGTTCTCTCCCCCTGCTCATCAGCCAGAAGCAGCCCTGGGGTTGGCAGCAGGACTCCTGGGTTCTCCCCCGCCTGCTCATCAGCCAGGAGAAGCCCTGGGGTTGGCAGCAGGACTCCTGGGTTCTCTGCCCCTCAGTCCACCGCCACCACATCCTCCAGCTCACGATACTGGATGAGGAAGTAGGGGTAGCACTGGTCGTTGTCGAAGACTACGTAGATCTGGGGGTCACTCAAGTTGTCCACGCACGAGTCATAGAGGTTGCTGGCTGGGTCACCAGCATCCAGGGGTGGGGGCCGGGGCAGAGCCGCCTGCCCCTGGGCCCAGCGCCCCACCAGCACCTTACAGAGGAAGACGTGGCGCAGGCCGGCCTCCGAGGGGGGTGCGTAGCGGTGGGAGTAACTGGCACGCCGGGCAAAGTAGCTGCCCTGCCCATAGATAGCAGCATGTTTCCCTGACAGGCGAGGGTCCAGGTTGTGTTTGCAGATGGCCGGCACTGCGCCCGCTGACGTGCCATGGAAAAGGTGACGCTCATTCCGCCTCTGCTGCTCTGGAGACATCTGCCGGCTCATGTGGCTCTGCTTCCTGGAAGGGAGTGGAGAGACACAGGATGCTTGGGTCCTCTCCTGGCTCCAGGAGGAGAGTGGGGGCTAGTGGTCACAGCCAAGCACCTTTTCCTTCGTCCCTGTCCCACAGGCAGGGGGTGGGCACCCAGGAGATGTCTGGGAGGAGGCATCAGGAGTAGGGAGTGCTGAGTGGGTGCAGGTTGGGGGCCAAAGGGCAGGTGCTGAGTGTAGGGGATAGGGCTGGTAGGATGTGGGAGGTGTGGGGAGATGCAGGGATAGGAGGGAGTGGATAGCGCAGGGGCCTGGGAAAGAGGCTAGGAGCTGTGGAGGGATCAGGAGCATGCAGGTTCCTGGGGACAGTGTTGGAGGGCCTGGGGGAATGCCGGGCTAGGGACTGTGGGGGCACAGGCTGTGGGGACAGGGATAGGAGGGTGGGGGTGCAGGCTGGAGTTCCAGGGGGAGCCAGAGCCAGGGGCACTCACCGCTTGTATTTGTCCCACAGAAAGGGGTTCTGCACCCGGGTTCTGCACCCGCCACACCTGCAACAGGCGGTACCGTGCCTCGGGCAGGCTCTTGTGGAAGAGGCCGTAGATGAGGCGGAAGCCGCGGTCTTCGATCGACATGGGCACCTTGTGCCAGTCCTGCTCCGGGGTGAGCGGCACCCAGGTCTCAGGGTAGGGCTGTGCCACGGGTGGCCCTGGGGCCGGTGGAGGAGGCAGGTACAGGGCACCCGCCACACCTGCAACAGGCGGTACCGTGCCTCGGGCAGGCTCTTGTGGAAGAGGCCGTAGATGAGGCGGAAGCCGCGGTCTTCGATCGACATGGGCACCTTGTGCCAGTCCTGCTCCGGGGTGAGCGGCACCCAGGTCTCAGGGTAGGGCTGTGCCACGGGTGGCCCTGGGGCCGGTGGAGGAGGCAGGTACAGGCTGCCGGAGAGGGTCCTGCAGGGGCAAAGGCAGAGGGTGAGGGGGCTGTGAGCACAGCTGGGAGCAGCAGCAGGATGGGGGCACGGGGCGGTTACCGTAGCTCTGGCAGCAGCAAGGCAGGGGCGCGGAAGACAGGGCGGGCCTGCAGGGGACGCAGGGTGCCGGTGGCCAAGTTGCGCTGGCAGCCAGCCTGCAGGTGCAGCTGGTAGCTGTGCTCAGCTGTGCTGCACAGCACCTCCTGCTGACCGCTCTGCAGCGCTGCCTCGATGTGCTCCGTGAAGGGCTGGGGAGAGAGGAAGGGTCAGCAGCCCTCGTCCCTCTCCAAGCAGAGGAGAGAACCCAGGTGTCCAGGCTCCTGGCCTGCCCTGCTCCAACCACCGGTCCCCACTCCCCTCTCAGAGCCTGGGAGAAAACCCAGGAGTCCTGGCTCCCAGCCCCCTCAGCTCTAGGCCCTGGCTCACCGTGCTGTAGGGCTCCCAGCTGCCAAGCCCCTGCCAGTAGTACTGCAGTGTGGTGCTGAAGGGGGTGCCACTTGCGGCCGAGGTGCTGAGGCGACGGATCCGGGTGAAGTGGGGGCTGTTCTGCACCTGCATGGTCACCAGGTCGATGTCGAAGGCGACGTCCCTGCCGGGCCAGGGAGATGGGGTCACTGGGGTAGGGAGTGGCCCCATCCCCAAGGGTAGGGAGACATGGCTCAGATACCCATTCACTGCCCCCAACCCACCAGCTCCCCTGTCCCCCCAAACGCCGCCCCACTGCCCCATCCCACCAACCCACTGTGCCCCTAAACACTGCTCCACTGCCCCCATCCCACCAACCCCCTGTGCCCCTAAACACCGCCCCACTGCCCCATCCCACCAACCCACTGTGCCCCTAAACACTGCTCCACTGCCCCCATCCCACCAACCCCCTGTGCCCCTAAACACCGCCCCACTGCCCCATCCCACCAACCCACTGTGCCCCTAAACACTGCTCCACTGCCCCCATCCCACCAACCCCCTGTGCCCCTAAACACCGCCCCACTGCCCCATCCCACCAACCCACTGTGCCCCTAAACACTGCTCCACTGCCCCCATCCCACCAACCCCCTGTGCCCCTAAACACCGCCCCACTGCCCCATCCCACCAACCCACTGTGCCCCTAAACACTGCTCCACTGCCCCCATCCCACCAACCCCCTGTGCCCCTAAACACCGCCCCACTGCCCCCTCCCACCAACCCCCTGTGCCCCTAAATACTGCTCCACTGCCCCCAACCCACCAGCCCTGTGTCCCCAAACACCGCCACACTGCCCATCCTGCCAACCCCCTGCCCCCCAAACACCACCCCACTGCCTCCGTCCTGCCAAGGTCCTGTGCCCACAAACACTGCCCCTATCCCGCCAACCCTCTGTGCCCCCAAACACCGCTTCACTGCCCCCATCCTGCCAACCCCCTGTCCTCCAACACCGTCCCACTGCCCCCATGCCGCCAACCCCGTGCCCCCAAATACTGCCCCACTGCCTCCATCCCCCCAACATACCAGCCTTCTATACATCCATACATTGTCACACTGCCCCCCATTCCCTCCAGCCTCCGAAACACTGCCCCACTATCCCTCTGTACCCCAAAACCACCAACACCTCCCACTTCCAGAACATGCACAAATACCATTGTCCTTTTAGATGACCCTTAGGCTGTGCCCATGACCTGCCCCCCCTCCTGTGCCCCAGTGGAGACTACCAGCCTTCTATACATCCATACATTGTCACACTGCCCCCCATTCCCTCCAGCCTCCGAAACACTGCCCCACTATCCCTCTGTACCCCAAAACCACCAACACCTCCCACTTCCAGAACATGCACAAATACCATTGTCCTTTTAGATGACCCTTAGGCTGTGCCCATGACCTGCCCCCCCTCCTGTGCCCCAGTGGAGACAAGGCTTCCACCCCTGGCTGACCCCTTATGCCCCCTATCCAGCACCTTCTCCCCCCTCCAACCCATGCCCCCAACCCACCATGGGTATGTCTACACTACCCCACTAGTTCGAACTAGCGGGGTAATGTAGGCATACCGCACTTGCAAATGAAGCCCGGGATTTGAATTTCCCGGGCTTCATTTGCATAAGCCGGGCGCC